TGGGTATGCTCTGATATTGTGACATCGGGGCAGAGGATTTTTAGGACATAGATTTTATATGGATTTGGAATTGTAAATATGATTTTCAAAACAATTTGTAAACTTTCAAGTTTTATTTTCAATTATTATGTTGGTTATTGATAAATGAATATGAAGGTTTTATGTGAACATTTTTACCAACGTTAAAATTTTATTCTTTAGTTTATTTATATGTTTAATATTTAACAATTTTTAAAAATTTTCCATCACAGAATCCGTTACAAAATTATTTATTAAATTTTGTGACAGATTTTTGTGACGAAATATTTAGAGAGGAATCAAAATCCGTCACTAAATCCGTCGCAAATTTTTTTTATTAGTGACCACATTTGTGACGGAATTGTTAGAGACATAAATTTTTCTGTCACAAAATCTGTCCCAAACTCTGAAAGTAAGTAATTCGTCACAAAAATAAAATTTTCATTACAAAAGTCGTCACTATTAATGACGACATTTTATCCGTCACAAATTTTCATCACAAATTTTAATTTTTCTAGTAGTGCATGGCCCAAAAACAAACCTACTCTACTTGGCCAAAATATAAGGCCCATAAACAAAATTATAAACCCAAGTGGGCCAACCCTAATCTACATGCGCTTTAGGGCACAACCCAACTAAAGAGTATTATGGGCTTTTCCTTGGAGTTAGCCCAATCTTCCTCTAACCTCTTAACCATAGCCCTAGTGATTGGCCCTCGACCTATGAGCCTCCATTAATTGTTAAGATTGAAGATTATCTTTTCAACGGCCAAGAACAAAGATTTTCACTAACATACTTACATAAATGAAAAGTTTTATTTTAGTATAAATGTTATGTTACCTTTATTTTCCTATCTAATGCACTAAATATCATTGATTTCCAATTAGTAACATATATAAATATTTCCTAAAACAATTATGATCAACCCAAGATTTTTTAAAAATTCTTTGGAATCGTGATTTCAATGATTTATATTTTTTTTTTAAGCATGAAAAAATTTCCCTTCTACTAAATGTTTTATTTATATGGAAAGTTTGTGAGTAAATAGATCTCCTTTATTACGAAAAGATTAAATGCATTAAAATAAAAGAAAATCAAACTTAGTTGATCATCTAAACTAAATGATATAAAAATGGATAAAATTTAAAAGTAGATTATATTTTCAAGTTAAAGGAGAATTGTTAACAAATGAGGCACCATACCAAATAGTTTCCTAAATTTGAACCATTGTTTAATCTCAATTAGGCTTGTATGCATTTTTAGAGATATACATATGGAATTTCAAAATCTAGAAGATTTATTCTTCATACATTTATGGAATTAAATATCAAAACTATTTCTTAAAATTTATAAATTTTACATAACTGTATTGCAAATCATATAATGTATCCACACTTAAGATCATTACATTAATTCCTATATCACCATTATTTGTAAGATCTCCCATATGCCATACAGTGATTAGAATGTTATAAAAAGGCACTAACGCTAGGGAAGAATGCACAAGCAATTAGAAATCTATCAAAGCAGTTAAAGAGTGATGGCAAGTTATTCTTTGTTTATCTCTCTAGTTTTATTTTGCCTTAACAACTTGATCTCTTTATCAAAGGCCCATAATAATGGGTTTAGTGTGGAAATCATCCACCGTGACTCAATAAGCTCACCACTATATCGTGCCACAGAAACTGAATTTGAGCGAGTTGTAAATGCGGTGCGTCGTTCCATCAATCGTGCCAATCATTTGGGACAATCTTTAGTCTCTCCAAACACAGCTGAGGCAACTGTGGAAGGATATGAAGGGGAGTTCTTGATGAGCTATTCAGTTGGAACCCCACCATTCCAACTCTATGGTATTGTTGATACGGGTAGTGACATTATTTGGCTACAATGCGAACCTTGTGAAGAATGCTACAACCAAACAACACCTATATTTGATCCTTCAAAATCCAAAACCTACAAAACCCTCCCTTGCACTTCTACTACATGTAAATCTGCGCGCAGATTTTCTTGCAGTGGCGAAAAATGTCAATATAGTATTAATTATGGGGATGGCTCTCACTCACAAGGAGATCTTAGTGTGGAAACCCTCACTTTAGGGTCCACTAGTGGATCTTCTGTCCAATTTCCTAAAACATTGTTAGGATGTGGACACAGCAATACCGGGACCTTTCATGGGAAAGCCTCTGGCATAGTTGGCCTAGGAGGAGGACCTATGTCCCTTATAACTCAATTGGGTTCTTCAATAGCTGGAAAGTTTTCTTACTGTTTAGCACCACTATTCACAGAATCTAAGTCATCTAGCAAACTCAATTTTGGAGATGCTGCTGTGGTTTCTGGGGCTGGAACTGTCTCAACCCCAATACTCCCACAAGAAGGAAAGATATTTTACTTCCTAAACTTAGAAGCATTCAGTGTTGGAAACAAAAGAATAGAGTTTGGAAGCTCTAACTCTTCTAATGAAGAAGGAAATATCATAATTGACTCAGGTACAACACTCACTCTTTTGCCAGATGATGTTTACTCAAATTTGGAATCAGCAGTAGCAGATGCAGTTAAATTAGAGCGTGTCGAGGATCCAAGTAACCTATTAAGTCTTTGCTTCCAATCTACATCTAATGAACTAGATGTGCCTATTATCACAGCACATTTTAGCGGGGCAGATGTTAAGTTGAATCCTATTAACACCTTTGTTGAAGTGGCTGACGGGATAGTATGTTTGGCTTTCCGTTCAAGTGACACTCTTGCCATCTTTGGGAACTTGGCACAACAAAACCTCTTGGTTGGCTATGACCTCAAAAAGAATATACTCTCCTTTGAACCCACAGATTGTTCCAAGAAGTGATTACTTTTTGTTTAATTTACTTGATCCTATATCAAATAATTAGACTAAGAACCTATGGTATGACATGCAAATTTCATTAAAACCGCTAAGTTGGCCTAGTGGTGCGGTTTGGATTGTAAGCATGAGGTCCTAGGTATGAACCTTAGTGCATTCTCTATACACAAAAAATTAAATATGAATTTCATAATATTTAATGTGAAATAATTTAAAGTATGATTCATGTATGATGTTGTGCATAAAATGCAATTAAGGCATATATCTTGTGATTTAGTAATAATAGGTAAAGTCCAAATATTGTATCATAAGGACTAAAGTCAATAGTTACCAACGCTTGTGATACATAAAGTCATAATCCTTAAAATTAAAAAGTTCCATCCATTTTCATTGTCTCATGTTGACCTTTTACTGGTCAAACAGATACTTCAAAGTTTTTTGATCAGTAAAGACATCAAACTTAACATCATAAACATAATGTCTTTAGATTTTCAAGGCAAACACCACAACTACCAACTCCAAACCATGGGTAGGTTAATTCCTCTCATGATTCGTTAGCTTCCTTTGAAGCATAAGTCACCATCTTTTTTGTTTTGCATCAACGTAAACCCCAATTCTTGATGAGAGGCTCCACAATAAACATTAAAAGACTCAATTAGGTCATTTTTCATAAACACATGAAATGTATCCAATTTCCTCTTTACCTATTTGAAATTTTCCTCACAAGCCCCATTCACACGAAAGGTTCTCCTTTATAATCAACTAAGTTATAGGAATGATTGTTTTAGAGAATCCTTCAATGAACCTCCAATAGCAACATTTTGTTGACCTTAGTTGAATCCATTAAAATCCCTTTAATTGAAATTAGAAAGCCTAGAAACTTAACCTTACTTAGCCAAAACTTACGCTTTAACATCTTAGCATACAATTGTTTCTCTTTCAAGCTCTTCATCACCAACCTAACACCATAATTTTTCATTTTTTCCAACAACTTCAATGCTCTCATAGAGACACACTCAGCTTGATCATTTGTTTCTCTAAAAGGTCTTTATATTGTTTCTTTAACTTAGTTAGCTTATCTTGAGCCATCCTTTAAGGAGTTATTCATTGAACCAAAAATGTTTCAACCTCTAGCACCCTAATTTTGATGATAACAAAGTAACAAACATGAGTGACAAATATTTGGCCCAATCATTTTAGGAAGCATACTTCCAAAATGTAGAAGGACTTAAGACCTTAAAATGTGCTTGTAATAATATCTTCTATAATCATGTAAAAATTAGAAAAGTGTAACACGTAGTAACTACAATAGCGAGCATCTACATTCAACATCCAATGGATCGTGACAAGCATCTACGTCATATATGTGTTAAGTCAGATGAAGCAATTCCTAGTAAGGTTTTGAATGAGACAAATATAATACATATTGTTATTTCTAACAAGTGTGTTAGTGTTTCAAAAAAACATAAGTATAGGCAAATTGAAAAATAGAGAATGTGCATATGCCAAGATAAAGGAAGAAAAGCTTCAAGCCAGCCGAAAAGACAACAAATACAAGATGAAGCGCACTACCAGTTGAAGTCTCGAAGTATCAAATACAGCATAAAGATCGGAAGAAGCAAAGTCGAATGAGCCAGACGAAAAGACAACAAATACAAGATGACGTGTACTATCAGTCGAAGTCTTGAAGTATCAAATACAGCACAAAGATCAGAAGAAGCAAAGTCGTATGATAGATAAAAACCCACATGTGCGCCAGACGACTATGAGTCTAATATCAGACAAAGGTGTGTCAAGAACAACCTCAAGTGCAACATAAGAAATTACACGAAAAATTGGTCAAAAATTAGAAGAAAGTCAACTGCACATCAGACGAAGGATAGAACAGACTGAAAAGCATTCCAAACGGAAACAAAGTCTGTCCATTCATAATGTTGACCAGACCAAAATAAGTCAAAGAATCAATGTCAAATGCTCAGACGAAGGTCAAGACTTGAGACGCATAGGACTAATAGACGCATACGAAGAATGCCATGAAAGCAAATAAGGAATCATGTCTCAAAGGACAACTCAAGCATTGTCTACGATCAAATGAAAGCTCTCAACATAATCGCGTGATTAAAGGAAGAGAAGAAGAAGAAGAAGAAGAAAAGCACGAAAAAAGTAAAAGCATGCATGTGTCAGAAAAAAGTACATTAATTTTTCAGAAAAGGACAACGCTCTATAGCTACGTGACCGAAAAAGGACAAAAAGGTTCCTAGGTCTTAGCTAAGGTCAGACACAACAACTAACAAACGAAGAAAACTACACAAAATGTCTATGAACAAGAAGTAACATTTAATGCAAGATCTTGAGCATTAAATGAAAGATCAAACTAGTAATGAACAACTATATCTACTTCAACAAACACTTGCAACAAGCAACTTCTACAAGACTATATATAGATCATCACTCCAAACCTGAAAATGTTAGCTTTGGCATTAACAAAAGAGTGATATCCAACCCACGAAGCAATGAAACCAGAGATAAAGCATATATCGTCAAATCTACCATAATGTATTCATCTTTGTAGACTAAGAAGTTCCAAGTGCAACTTAGGAACATGAACCTCAATGAGTGTAGAAATATATGTATCCTCTCTGTAAGAGTAACCCACACACTCAATCATTGTAAAACTAAGGTTGCATACCTTAGTGAGTGTAGAAATTCATGTATCCTCTCTGTGAGAGTAAGCCAAACACTCAAACCAAACACTTTAGCCATCATTTGTAAAGCCTGAAGAGGCTAGGCAAAGAATACTTGTAAAGCCTGGAGAGGCTTGTCAAAGAATACTTTTTAAGAGCCAGAAGTGGCTGATTAAATAATACTAGCGCTAATGGTGAAGTTAGCGGGCCAGGAGTTGGTCGACAATACTCATTGAGAGCCAGAAATGGCTAAACAAAGAATACTAGCTCTAATGGTGAAGTTAGCAGGCCAGGAGTTGGTCGATAATACTCATTGAGAGCTAGAAGTGGTTGAGCAAAGAATACTATGGTCGAGAAGTGAAGTTGACGAACCAGGAGTGGTTGAGAATACTTGGGACCAGGAGTGGTGATGGAGGATCATCCTTGGAACTTTAAGTGGGACCTATCACTAGGCCCATGGCTACGAGAATGGAAGAGAATAGGGGAGCTAACACCCCTAGAAACATGTTAAAGAACATTAATCTTTCTCCTAAGCTTTGTTGGCATAGACTTTATTTTTATTCCTATTTTACCCTTGTCTTTAATTTTCCCATTTTTACCATTGTATTTTGGGTATCTTAGGCATAGGATTTATTTTACTTATATTTCCTATTTTACCCTTATATTTTGGGGTATCTTAGTCATAGGATTTATTTTCTTTTTTATTTTCCATTTTACCCTTATATTATGGGGTGTTTTAGATCATAGGATTTTAATTTTGGGCTAAGGTATTTAATTAGGAGGGCTAAACGCGTTTTGGTGGTTTTGGACCTATTTTTGGACTTAGAAAGGCTTAGGCTCAAGTGGGGGGCAAAGGATGCATGGTCTTATCATGCACCTAGATGTAGCCTAACTAAACCCGAAGATTCCATCCTTGGCCACCAAGTTGCATCTAGGGTTAATTTGGGTTTCATTTGGTGTGCATTTGGCATTGTGAATTTCGGCCAAAGCAACCCTAGATGCCTCCCACTCCTATAAATACCCAAGGCACCACACCTTGTAAATACTTTAGATATTGAATATAAAGAGAGCCTTTTGTGCCTTTGTATCTTTCCTTAGTCACCTTTGGCTAATTCGACCACCTCCCTCCCATCTCCACCTTGAGAGAAACAACCCTAGAAGTGGCCTTCATCATCATGAAGTGAGCCAACCCTAGAGTACCCTTCTCAAGCATTTCCTCAAACACCTTCTACCCAACCTCCATTTTCATCCATTCCATCATCATCCACCCTAAAACCTTGTGCCACCTTTGAAGAACTTGATCCTTGGAGTAGGCATCCTCTTCCTTTGCTCATCATCTCATGTTCATGCAAGTAAGGATGTCATCAAGTGGTCATGACCTGGGTGGTCTATAATACTCACTGCTAGCCTGAAGAGGCTGATTAAAGAATACTAGGACCAATGAGTGAAGTTGGCCAACCAGGAATGGTCATGACCTGGGTGGTCTATAATACTCACTACGAGCCTAAAGAGGCTGAATAAATAATACTTGTACTTCATTGAATATCTAGTGGAACCCTTTATTTGAAGGAGATTGGACGTAGCTCAATTTGAGCGAACTAGTATAAAAATACTTGCACTATTTTTATGTTTCAGACGCACTTTGGTTTTGTTGATTTAACACACTGAAAACTTCATCCAATGCATTTCGTTCATCACAACTATCTTTAGACGAAAACCATCCTCGCTTAATTTACTATATTAAAGAATGGTTTTCACCTAAGATATATTTTCATGTGCAGACGATAAACCTTCAGACGCAACATTATTTATTAAACTAACTTTGCACAGTTTTTCAACTAATTAAAATAATAGTTTTAATTGGACGAAAAAGAGTGTTCTTGCGAAAACGTTTGTTAAAATACCTTTGTTTAAACAAATACATATTCAACCCCCACTTCCTATGTGTTTTCATTTAACTTCAATTGGTATTAGAGTTTGACCCGTTGGGTTGAGCATCTAACAATGCAGGGGTAGAATACGATCCATAGAAGAACGAAGGACAAATAAGAAGTCAAAAAGCAAGAAGGATGAACAACTGGTACAGGTAAAACAAGTATCAAATCACCTACTTCATTGAAGCATGTTTTATATGTTATAGAAGTAGATCACATCAGATACACTAGGATATTCATATATATTCACCGTCCAGTTTAGTCTAAAGCACACTAGGGACGCAAACGCAGTAAATCACTACGTCTGGATATCCCTTAGGATGCAGTAAGAAATTACTGCGTCTAAGAATCTTCGTTTGATGAAGCGTCTAGGGAACCTTCCACGCATCTGGATATTTAGCCCATGTGTCTGAAAATTTAGTCGAGCACATTAATATTAAATGACCTTTATCATTAAACGGTGTGCAGTCAGAAACAAACATTCTCCGCATTTAAAGGTTAAAACGTTTAAATTAGTAAATGATAAAACCGTCGTTT